CAGCCGGTGATAGTAGTCTCGTGAGACCACTCGAGGGGGTTGGCTGTGTTTCCTTCCGTCTCGGGTGTTGCATCACCTCGAATATATTTTTGAAAAGCCGGCTTTGACTGTGCATTGCATTACAATATTTTTCAACGAGTTATTTAATAATGAAGTAAACACGATTTCTTTTACTCAATGTTGAATAACTTTTCAATGTTGAATATCTCCACGACGGTACTTCGAGAAACGACATATAAAGACTCGCGATTATAAGCGTATGAATTTGTAATCATGAGATGAACCATTATCAGTAATAAGATACATTCGCAATCTGATACTGAAATTATTAAAACTAATAGTAGAATCTAACAGGGCGAATGGAAGTACGACGTGGTAATCAGAACGCAAAGTAATAGAATAAATATTCTTATATTACTCTTTTATTTCGTTAATCCAAAAATTGAACGTTTCGACTCACTTTGGAGTCCTCAGCAATTATAAAATATATGTCATTCCTTTGTAAGTCTCATTTGAGTCACTAACTTAATGCAGACTCGTTGCAAAAATCTATTAAACGTTAAATTAAAGAATAATTACATAGATTAAGACAAGATTAAAAAAATTTTTTATTTTTCGTAGATATTCGTAGTGGGATGTATAGAGTTGTGTTATTTGAGAGAGTAAGATTTCTAGGCTTTTCATACAACCCAGACAGCACAAAATACTAAAAAATAACGAAAACAGGTCTTTTTTAAGTCGTCTTTGCGACAAAGCGAAAAGGTGTCTAAAAGATGACGAAAAGACATTGTTTTTAGATTGTCTTTTCAGTAAGATCAAAAGATATCTATAAGACATCTTTTAGCTTTGTCGAAAAGACAACTTTAAAAAGACATCTTTTCGTCATCTTCCTATGGTTGTCATTTTTGCAAAGGCAAAGGTCGACTAAAAGATATCTTTTCGTATTGCCGAAAAGACAACATGAAAAAGATATCTTTCCGTTATTTTGGTACTTTTTATAACTCATTCGCGAGCACTCAGAGCAGTACGCGAGATCGCCACCAGAAGATCGATTCTGTATCTTGAAATGAGGTGAAAATTACAAAAGTGAGCGAATTTACTAGAATACTGATAATTTCATTGGTCAACGCCTAGTAAATTTGCTCACTTTTGTAATTTTTACCTTGTTCGAAGATACAGAATCGACCCCCAGATGGACGTAATGGAGTTCAGTTTTTCGTGTTTGAAAATCATACAGGACAGAATAAGAGGTGCAGCATAATAAAAAATTTTACTCGTGTTTTAATGAACACTTATAAAATATTTTTTTGTAATCGAGTTTCCAAAGAGGACTATGATGAAAGATAATGACTCTTGCTCATAGGACACGGCAAACATTGCAGGAAATGGGACGTATATTGTCAGTCATGCAATTTTATTTCGTTTTGTGTAAAAATTAATTTAGGAATTCGATGTATTAAACGTTATATGTATCAAAATATAAAAACTAAAAGAAGTTTTAAAGATGACTAAAAGATACCCAAAGAAGTCGTCCTTTAGTTATCATATGGATAAGACTATAAGATGACTAGCAGTGCAACATCGGGAGGATCCCGTTTGCTTATAGTTCTGATTGTACACACCACTCATATCAACTGGTGCTTAGTAATTTTTCACTGTTTTGCCAATGAGATTATTTTATTTTTAAATTAGCCAATCAGCGATACATGTGTGCAATATGCGATGTGTGCAATCGGAGCCCTCCCGC